AGGGGGCACCTTCCCGGGGTCTCTCCGTGCCCAGGACCCCGTGGTGGGGCTGGGGGCAGCCGGACGCTGGGGGGAAGCGGGGACCCGGCCAGGAAATGCGGACACCTGGATCCTATTCTTGGGGCAGGGATTAATTCAGCCTCCGCTTCCTCCCTCCTTCCTGGCAGGGGGAAGCCGGGCCGGGGAGGGGAACCCGAGCCCCCCGACAGGTCCCTGCCGGGAGCCCGTGCGCTGCCTCCCCCCTCTGCCCCATCCCTCCTGACAGCACGGTCACGTTCCCGGGGGTGACCTTCACCCCCACTTTACAGCTGGGTTGCAGGGCTGTAAACCCAGCCCCACTTATCTGTGCCCCGGGGAAAGTTCACGAGCGAGGGGAAGGTGAGGAAGGATGGGGCAAAAAGGGTGATGGAGGTGGCCCCAGCAGCCAGAGCCCTCCAGGGGTCTGAGCCCCCCCGGGCTGCTGGGTTGAGACCCCAGGGTCAGCAGCCGTGGGTGGGAGCCAGAGGAAGAGCCCCCCACAGCCCCAGGTGACAATGACAGCGGGTCCCCACGCCCTGTGGGATGCAGGTGCTCCGGGATGGGGGTGCTGGGGACAGGGTACCCCCATCCAGCTGAGGACTGGGGGGGCTCGGGCGCTCCTGGGGCTGTCTGGCAGCAGAGGGGTCCCAGACTCACCTCCCGGTCGCAGAGCAGCAGCTGCGGGAGCGGCTTCAGCTGCAGCGGCTTCAGCTGGAGCTGGCCCGGAACCGGCGGGGCCCAGCCCAGCGCCCGGTGCTGGCCCCGTCCAGCCCACGGAGGGGCGGGGGGGCCGCAGGGCCCTCCCCCAGAGGTCCCAGATGGGGAAACTGAGGCAGGAAGGAGCAGCCAGTGGGGATGAGCCCCAGGAGCGCTGCAGGCACTCACCCCTGCCCAGGGTCTGTGTGCCTTCCCCACCCGGCAGCTCAGAGCAGGAACAAGCAGGGAAAATCCTGGAGCGCAGCAAACAAAGGGAGCTTCCTCTCCTGGGCTACGGGAAGCAGGGGCAAGGTACAGAGCTGGAGAACCGGGAATGCCCAGGGCTGCTCAGGGGACACCTGTCCCCAGAGAGGACACCTGTCCCCAGCCCAGCCTGAGGTCACGGTAGGTCCTGCCACAGGGAATGTGTCACCCAGGGGCTGCTGTGTCCCCACACACCATCCCCAGCAGAGCCACCTCCTACAGGTGGCTGAGCCCCGGGGTCGCAGCAGGACGAACAAATGAAGCTCAGGACCTAAAAAATACATCTTTATTAAAAATACAATCAGTCATTCACCACGCTGAGGGTGGGGGGCACAGAGTAACAGAGTCTGCGGGAGGAAAGCACAGCGAGGGCTGGAGAGCAAACCTGGGACAGGGACAGACCTGGGACAGGGACAAACTGATGGCAGAAGCTCCAGGTGAGGTAGGGGCTGGGTTGGGGGTCCCCAGGGCAGCTGAGGAGCTGAGGGCAGCGCTATTGCTTAGGAAGTTGCATAGATTGGGGTGTCTCCTCCAGCTTTGTGCTTTGGCAGAGCTCCCCAGCCAGCACTGGGAGCTGGAACATCGCTGGGGTCACCCCCAATCCCCGCCCGCACCCACCGGGAGAGGAGAACAGCAGAAGGGCAGCGAGGCAGGGAGGAAGCACATCCACGCTCATCCTCAGCCCTGGCATGAGGAGAGGGGGCTGAGCATGGCCTCTACCCCAACACCACATCCAGGGGCAGCCAGCAGACCCCGAGGCTCCACAGCTCCTCCGGGGAGGTGCCGGAGTTGTTGGTATCCACACGGGATTGAAGCCAAGGCAGAGGTGTGGCCTGACCAGCTGGAGCTCCGTGACATTTGTAACAGGAGGAGGAGGAGGAGGAGGAGGAGGAGGAGGTCACTGGCAGCTCCCTCACCACGGCTCCAGGCAGGTGCTGAGCACACAGGTACCAGCGTGACAGGTCCAAAGTTCCTCTCGTGTGTCACCCTCAGGCACCTGCACAGGGGATGGAGGGGAAGGTCCATCCCCACCCCAGGCTGTCCAGTGCCCAGTGAGGGGAATGGGGCTCCTGTCTGCAGCCCACAGCTGTGGCATGGAGCCAGAGAAGCACCCAGGTTTGGGAGAGGGTCCCTGCCCCGGGGGTGCCACCCTGGGAGCTCACAAAAGTCCACTGCAAAAGTTGGGGTGGGTCCAGGCTGCATCCAGGCCCAGGTGACCTCCCAGCCTGGGGAGGCTCCCATGCACCCCAGCCCCCAACAGCCAGAGCTGTGCTGACAGCAGCCTTCACACCTCAGGCAGGAGCTGCAGGGGAAGGGAGGTCAGATCCCCTTTTCTCCCTGTCAGAGGGGGTCATCCCCACAGGGTCCATCCCCCACAGGGTCCATCCCCCACAGGGTCCATCCCCCACAGGGTCCATCCCCACAAGGGCCATCCCCACAAGGACCATCCCCACAAGGGCCATCCCCACAGGGTCCATCCCCCACAGGGTCCATCCCCCACAGGGTCCATCCCCCACAGGGACCATCCCCACCGTGCCTGGAGCAGCCCAGCAGAGGTTCTGCTCCTCAGCGCAGCTGACCTCACTGAACATCCAGATGCTTGTGGGGCAGGGAATCACTCCTGTGATTCCCAACAGAGAAGCCATTGAGGTTTTCCTCCTCCTCTTCATCATCTTCATCATCATCATCATCATCGTCCTCGAAGAGCTGCTCGTTAAAGAGACTTCCCAGGCCGAACTCCCGCTCGTGGGCAGACACCTCGTTGGGGGTGACATGAGAAGCACCACCCACAAAATCAGCAAACCTGGGAGAAGCCACAGAGCAGCACATTGGACAGGTGTCTCCTCTGGAGAGAGGCCCTGACACACACGGGGTAAATCATTTTGGTGCTGGGACCTGGTGCTATCCCCCCAGCACTCTGTGCTCCCACCCAGCACAGATCTGTGTCTCTGAGGACAGAGGTGACAGCACAGGGAGACACAGGGTGCCCACCCCGAGCTTGCTGCTGGGGGTGTTACCTTTTGGGAGACTGGATGCGGGACACCGTGGTCCAGGCAGAGAATTCGGGGCTCTGGCAGGAGCTCCGCAGCTCTGCCAGGGCCTTGCGGGTCTCCACCTCTCCCTGGAGCCGAAATTCCTCCTCCGTCAGCAGCCGAGGAGGGCTCGGGCCCAGCCTGGAATTCTGCACCCTCCTGCCAGGGGGGCAACACCAGTTAATGCCTGGATGGGGTGGGACCAGCTCCCGGGGCAGGACCCCAGGAGCAGAACTCTCAGGACAGAACCCCTGGGCCAGGATCACCCTCCAGGGCAGGACCCCAGGAGCAGGAGCTCTAAGGCAAGACCAGCACGTGAAGCCACCTCCCAGGGCAGGAGATCTGAGCTCAGCTCCCTGGGCAAGAACCCCTGGGCAGGATCAGCTCCTGGCACACAAATCTCTGGGGCAGAACCAGCTCCTGAGACATGAATCCCTGGGATAGGCCAAGCTCCCAGGACAGGATCAGCTCCTGGGGTATCCTAGGGTGACTCTATGATGATTTATCCCCAGTCAGCTGCTCTGCTGATGCTGGATATTAATTTCTACACTTTTAACACCGGTTCTGAGGGTGCAGGGGGGACAAAGAGAAGTGTGGAGTTTGTTATCAGAAGCTGCACTCACTTCTCTGCATTCTGCTCTGCAGCACAGACAGGACAGAGCTCTCCTTTGCTTTTAGTTTTTACAAGTTTTTCCTTTTTTGGGATCAGTTCAAAGCTGCTCTGCAGCACCAGAGGAACTGAACAGAGCCTGAGTGAGCCAAGCAAAGCAACCCCTGACAAAAAGGACTTCCTGAATTTGCCATCTCCACAGAACTGAGAGAGGTATTATTGTTTAATGTTGTTCAGTTTTTATGTTTGTGGATATTTTGCTGTTGTTGAATATTTGCTGTTAAATAAACTGGTTTTTTCTGCTTTTCTCCAAGGAAATCTTTTCCTGAACCTATCAGGGGGCTGCTTGAATTTGCTTTCTGGAAGGATTTGGAGGTTTCTTTCCAAATTTGCCCTAAACCAGGACACGGGGCCAGCTGGCAGTGGGGAAAGTGGAACACACCCCTCCAGCCTCTGCTCCTTGCTCCCAAGGGCCCTCTCCTGCACCAATCCCAGGGGAAAGAGGGCACAGCCCCCCAGCCCACTCCCAGTATAAATCCTGGTTCTGTGACACTCATCCCAACCCAGCTGGGAGCCGAGAGCACGCCGCAATCCTCACCGGTAGGCAGCGAAGGCCCACTGCAAGGGGTAGTCCAGGTTCTTGGTGCAGACAGCGATGAGCACCAGCCCCAGGGCGATGGGGTGGATCTGGATGCCCCAGTACATCAGCAGCAGCCCCAGCAGCTGCAGGGCCCAGGACAGGAGGTTGATGCTGCGCTCGTTCTCCAAGGGGCCGTACCTGTAGCACACGGCGAAGCTCAGGAAGCCCACCAACAGCAGGTAACCTGGGGGAGAGCACAGGGATGGGGCAGAGACCGGGGAGCTCCGTCAGGATGAGGGGGGACCTGACGCCATCCCCTGGGAGCAGCAGCAGCAGCAGGGACAAGGGGACTCAGCATTGCTCCCCAGCTCTGCCGGGAGACGTTCACCCGTGAGTCCCAGAGCTCCCACCTACCTAACAGGTACTGCCAGTAGGATTTGCAGATCTCCTGCAGGTTCTTGAAGATCAGCTGAAGCAGGTACAGGGAAAAGGACCAACCTCCGACCAGCAGGAAGTACACAGGGCTTTTCTGGGGGAGCACAGGGAGGGTTGCAGCAGGCTGTGGATACCTCCCCTAGGTGCTGAGCTGCTCTGTACCAATCCCAGCCCATCCCAGTACAGGTATGGGAAGGGTCACGAGGCCTCTGACCCCCTCAGGATGTGACACCTACTTTGGGCATGACCTTGGACATCATGTAGACGAGGATGAGCAGCGAGGCCAACAAGCCAACACTGATCCCAGCTGAGTAGTAGAAGATCTGGCTCCTGCAGTGATCACACAGGGAATCACTCACAGCAGGTGTTTTATGGATACCTGTGCACAAACAGCCCCAGCCAGGAGCCACCAGGCACTGCACCTGTCCCAGCCCCTGGGGAAAGGAGGGAGCTCACCTGCTCAGGGAGTCCCCACAGAAAAACAACAGCAGGCCCAGGAAGAAAACAAGGAACAGCTTAGGATCAAAGCCTGGAAAGAAAGCGAATCCCTGTGGAGAGGAGCACGGTGGGAAGCTCCCACCGGCCTCAGGGGCACAGGACAGGGATGGGGCAGCGTCCAGGTGAACCTGCAAGTGCCCCAAATCCCTTCCACAGACCAAATTCCCTTCCTGAGGAAGGAACAGGTCCTTGGATCATGAGCTGCCCTGTCCTGCTGTCCCCAGGGCAGCCCCCAGACCCCTTTTCCCCAGCGGGGAGGGGACGTACGTCGGAAGAGGACGACGGAGTAGAAGGTGCCGGGCTCCAGCAGCTCGACCTTGAGGCAGGTTTTGTTGCTGTAGAGATCCACGTCGATGCTGGTGTCGTTGAGCTTCCCCCGCAGGAAGGAGAACACCACGTTCCACACGCTGAACCTCTCCAGCTCCTCCTCGCTGTCCACCTGCGTGACGCGGATCATCCGGCTGCTGGTGACGTGGATCTGCGAGAAGAGAGGGGGGAATGGATGGAGGGGCTGGAGCAGGGAGGATCTGCTGCCTCCTCCTCCTCCTCCTGGTGTCACCTGTGTCCTCGTCCAGATGTCGTTCCATCGCGGCACGCGGGTGTTGGTGTAGCAGAAGCGCTGGGATTCACTGTGTTGGGACGTGTGGCCCTCCTGGAGCGGGATGATGTGATCCTTGGTGCCTGGGAAGCGCACAGGGAGGGGATCATGCCATGCTGCCCTCTGCTTCACCCACCGAGCCCTTTCCCTCCCCTGGGATCTTCCACTGAGGCACATTCCCCCCGGTCCCGCCGCTGTTTTCCTTGGAATGCATCCTCCGGTTCCTTTTTGGGATAATCCCGTGGGGATCGGCACAGCCCCACCCCTGCGGCCCTTCCAGCTCGACTCCCAGCTCCAAAATCCGACCTCACGGGCATTAATCCACCGGCACGCACTCGCCCCCCG